ATCTCCTCCTACTCACTGTTGTAGATGGTTGATGGAGGCTGCTGGGGGCCTGAGACGCTTGGGTGTCCTGTTGACCACCTTCATCCACAGACAGGTTCAGGAGATGTGTGGAAAAGCTGGAGAATGGAATAGAATAGAATAGAATAGAATAGAATAGAATAGAATAGAATAGAATAGAATAGAATAGAATAGAATAGAATAGAGAAAAGGAATAGAATAGAATAGAATAGAATAGAATAGAATAGAATAGAATAGAATAGAATAGAATAGAATAGAATAGAATAGAATAGAGAAAAGGAATGGAATGGAATGGAATAGAATAGAATAGAATCTGGAAGGGATCTTGGAGGTCTTCTAGTCCAACCCCCTGCTCAAGCAGGAGAACCTATATACCATTTCAGACAAGTGACTGTCCAGCCTCTTCTTAAAAACCTCCAGTGATGAAGCACCCACGATTTCTGGTGGCAAGCTGTTCCACTGGTTAATTGTCCTCACTGTCAGGAAGTTGATAAGGTAGTCAACTTATAACCATTTGTTAGTAATAATAAGTAGTAATAATAGTAATAATAATAAAGTTGGAAGGGACCTTGGAGGTCATCTAGTCCAACCTCCTGCTCAGGCAGGAAACCCTATACCATTTCAGACAAATGGCTGTCCAGTCTCTTCTTAAGAACTTCCAATGTTGGAGCATTCACCGCTTCTGGAGGCAGGTGGTTCCACTGGTTAATTGTAGAATTTAAGATATTGTGTTAACCCAGTAACTGGATACTAGAGGAGTGGAGAAGATTTTAGCTTTGCTGTGGGGAACACGTGTGTGTCTATACATGTTTGTGTATGTGTGTGTTTATAGATTTACACCATTTGATTTTGTTGTATTTCCGTTCACATACACACGTTCGCCGTGTTGAAATTTAGTCTGCCAAAATCTCACAAGAATCCACATTAATTCGACCCTTTCCCCCCCCCCCCCAAAGCAGCCTGGCAAAGCTTGTGAGAGCATGCCAAAAATAATCATAATTAAAAAATAAAGAACATTGACCAACTTCGTTAACATCCAACTGGGATCTTCCAGGCCAGGAAATGAGTGGAGACCTTTGAACCGGCAAATTCATGCCTTATCTTTTCTTTCCTGTTAACAAACTGTCTTGTTCTGGTTTTAAACATAAACCCCTGAGAACAACAAACAATGATTAGGCAGTGCCAGGGAAAGCAGGAGAGGGAATCCTGAATTTCAAGGAAATCCTTCGAGAAGGATGCAGATGACCACCCAGGTCGCCTTGAGAAATTGGGAAGAGACTTTGAGGGAGAGAGAGAGACAAAGAGAGAGAGAGAGAGAGAGAGAGAGAGGGAGGGAGGGAGGGAGGGAGGGAGGGAGAAAATGAGAGAGAGAATGAGAGAAAGACAGAGAGAATGAGAAAGACAGAAGGATAGTGAAAGAGGGAATGAGAGAATAAAAGAATGAGAGAAAGACAGAATGAGAAAGAGGAGAGAGAGGGGGGAAGGAGAGAGAATGAGAAAGACAGAGAAGGAGAGGGTGAGAAAGAGAAAGACAGAGAATGAGAATGAGAAAGACAAAGGAGAGAAAGTGAAAGACAAGGAGAGAGAATAAAAAAGAATGAGAGAAAGACAGAATGAGAGAGAGGAGAGGAAAGGAGAGAGAATGAGAAAAACAGAAAGAGAGAGTGAGAGAAAGAATGAAAAAGACAAAGAGAATGAGAAAGACAGAAGGAGAGAAAGTGAAAGAGAAGGAGAGAAAGAAGGAAGGAGAGAGAATAAAAGACAGAATGAGAGAGAAAGAGAATGAGAGAGAGGAGAGAGAGGGAAGGAGAGAATGAGAGAGAAAGAGAAGGAGAGAGAATGAGAGAAAAAGAATAAGAGAAAAAGAAGAGAGAAGGCAGGAGAAAGAAAGGGAAGGAGAGGAGAGAGAGAATAGAGAGAGGGGAAGGAGAAAGAAAGAGAGAGAATGAGAGAAGGAGAGAGAGAGAGAGAGAGAGGTGGTGATTATGGGAAGAGAGGAAAAATACACATAAATTGCCACACAAGTCGTTCACCTTTGGACTGGACTTCCCGCCCAGGGCTTGGACAAGCGGCCGTGGAGGAAACATTGCCTGGAAGTATTTACAGATAATCCTTGATTTACAACCGTTCATTTAGGGACCGTTCGAAGTTACAACGGCACTGAAAAAAGCGACTTATGACCGTTTTCCACACCTACGACCGTTGCAGCCTTCCCCGTGGTCACGTGATCAAAATTCAGACGCTTGGCAACCAACTCCTATTTGTGACGGTCGCACAAGCGTCTCCCAGGGGGGTCACGCGATCCCCTTTCGCGACCGTCTGACGAGCCGAGTCCATGGGGGAAGCCAGCTTCTCTTAACAACCCTGTTTCTCACTTAACAACCGCAGGGATTCACTTAACGGCCACAGGAAAAAAGGTCGTAAAACGGGTCGAATCTCGCTTAAACACTGTCTCGCTTAGCAACAGAAATTTTGGTCTCGGTTCTAGTCGTAAAGTGGAGGACCTTCTGTATTCCTTTAGGCCGCGTCATTTATTAATTCTGAATTTTAATCGATGGGCACCAAACTCCGGTTGACTTTGGGAGGCGTACAAAAGTAGAGGAAAGATCAAAACACGAAACGCCCGTCTTTTATTTTGTGATAAACCCATAAAATTTGTAAAAAAAAAAAAAGAGAGAAAACATCAAATTAGTTGAAAATGCTAAATCAAACAGTCAGCCCAGACTATAAATAATCCTACATAGATGGGACCGGAACCTCCGACACTAAAAAGCAGCGTTGCATAAGTCATGCTTAATTTTTACAATTTTCTGGAGGGGCTCCGTTGCGGTCATAAAACGAGGACTACATTTGACCTCGAAAAAAACTGCCCGTTTCTTTCAGCGGGTTCTCGGCACCAACTGTAAAAATATCCATCTACAGGCAGTCCTCGACTTAACGACCACAAACGGTGCCAAAATTTCGAGACATTTGGGAAGTGAGTTTTGCCCCGTTTTACGACACTTCTTCCCCACCGTTGTTAAATGAATCGCTCCAATTTTATCTTAGTCACCCAGTCGTTAAGTGAGTCTGACTTCCCCACTGACTTTGCTTGGCAGAGGGTCGCCCAAGGGAAGGATCATGTGACCCAGCCAGGATGTTGCGACCGTCATAAATATGAGTCTGTTCCCAAGTATCTGGATTTGGATCACGTGACCACTGCAATGGTGGGAGTCAGCTGATTCGCACCCGTTCGGCAGAACCGGTAGCTAAATTTTGCTGAGTTCGGAGAACCGGCTGAATGCACACTGCTTCCGGAAGTCCGTTCTAGGCCTCGGAGGCCTGGAAGAGGCCTCCCAGGCCTAGAACGGCCCACCGGAAGTGCAGGGATGCCACTTCCGGAAGTCTGTTCTAGGCCTCGGAGGCCTGGAGGAGGCCTCCCAGGCATAGAATGGCCCGCCGGAAGTGTGTGGATGCCACTTTCGGAAGTCCGATCTAGGCCTCGGAGGCCTGGAGGACGGCTCCCAGGCCTAGAATGGCCCACCGGAAGTGCACGGCTGCCACTTCCGGAAGTCCGTTCTAGGCCTCGGAGGCCTGGAGGAGGGCTGTCAGGCCTAGAATGGTCCACCAGAAGTGCGTGGATGCCACTTCCGGAAGTCCATTCTAGGCCTTGGAGGCCTGGAGGAGGCCTCCCAGGCATAGACTGGCCCGCCGGAAGTGTGTGGATGCCACTTCCGGAAGTCCATTCTAGGCCTCGGAGGCCCAGGCCTGCATCCAATAAGAGAACCGGTTGTACAGGTATTTGAATCCCACCACTGGTCGTAAGTGGGAAAAACGGTCATAAGTCACTTTTTTCAAGGCTGTTGCCAGTTGGGACGGTCACTAAATCAGCTGTTGTAACTTGAGGACCAGCTGTATTGAATTACAGGCCCCAAATGATCTTTGCATCTGATCTCTCAGCACATAGACAGATCAATATGAGAGCTTTAATTTATTCACTGAATTCATCTGTTTTCATGCCTTCTCACTGCATGCTAAAACAGCCTAATAATACCTCGTTCGTCATTTGCCAGAATTCCTATGATTCATTGTTTGAAGGAGACAAATCATGGCGACCAAATGGCAAAAATCTCAGAGGCGTTTTGCAGGATGATCTGAAGCTTTGCTTCAAAGAGAGAAGCAACCTGGAATTAAGGAGAAACTTCCTGACAGTGAGAACGATTAACCAGTGGAACAGCTTGCCACCAGAAATCGTGGGCGCTCCAGCACTGGAGGCTTAAGAACTAGACAGTCACTTGTCTGAGATGGTATAGGGTCTCCTGTTTGAGCGGGGGGCTGGACTAGAAGACCTCCAAGGTCCCTTCCAGCTTTTATTCTATTCTATTCTATTCCTATTTCTATTGTCTTTCTATTCTATTCTGTTATGTTCTGTTCTGTTCTGTTCCATTCCATTCTATTTCTATTCCATCTATTCTATTCCATTCTATTCTATTTCTATATTCCATTCTATTCTATTTCTATATTCCATTCTATTCTATTCTATTTCTATATTCCATTCTATTCTATTCTATTTCTATTTCTATATTCCATTCTATTCTATTTCTATATTCCATTCATTCTATTCTATTCTATTCTATTCTATTCATTCTGAATTCTATTCTATTCTATTCTGTTCCATTCTATTCTATTCTATTCATTCTGAATTCTATTTTATTCTATTCTATTCTATTCTATTCCATTCTATTCTATTCTATTCTATTCTATTCATTCTGAATTCAATTCTATTCTATTCTATTCTATTCTATTCTATTCTATTCTATTCTATTCTATTCCCTTCCCTTCCCTTCCATTCCATTCTATATTTGCTATTCTGTTCTGTTCTGTTCTGTTCTAAGATGGCGGCTGTGATGGTACAAGCCAAGATGGATTCCAAAGAAAAGGGCGAGACGAGAGTGATAAAATGTTTTCAGAAGTAACCCTCTTCCTCCTGTTTCCCTTTCCAGTTGCAGACTGCAAAGTCCCCCGGGAAATCTCGCACGGCTTCATCGCCTTCTCCACGCCCCAAAACCTGACCACGTACCAGTCGGAGATCCGGTATTTCTGCCAAGAGCCGTTCTACCAAATGGTTCCCAATGTCACAGGTGCGCCTCTGCTTGGGGGCCTCTGGAGAACACCTTGCTCGTATGTCCCCAACCCTCTTTATCATGCAGATGCATTCAGACAACCCATCTGATTTTGGCTGGCTAGCCTATACCCTGGGAGGTCTTTCGTGGCTTGGCCTGTTGAGTTAGCCCAGCCCTTTGGGTTGGCTTCTGGTTCTAGCTGTTCTACAAACCCCCAAAAAGAGGGTTAGGTCAAGATCCAGGTTAAAGGTGTTTTGTGAATGCAAGCGCAGTCACAGAACGGGGCTAAGATATGGAGGGCTGGACCGGGGAAGGATGTTTTTGGTCCAAGATGGTCCATCCTCAGTGTCGGAAGAACAATTTGGGGTTCTAACCGGAGCCGAAGATGCGCAAGAAGAAATAAAAATGAGATCCAGACAGCAGCAAGGAAAGAAGAAATATTTATTCTTAAAAGCAAAACAGTTGCCTCTAGAGGCAGCTGCAGAGAAATGGGATATAGCAGTAGTGTTTTATAAGGGGAGCTAGTCCAGGGCGTGGAAGTGTCTGCGTGCTGATTCTAGGACGACACTTGAGCGGCATGTGTGTGTGCACGTGTATGTGTAGGTGTGTTGATTCCTGTGAACATGCGGTTCCGCTGGGAGACCTAATTTAATTAACTCGGCTTGTGTTTGTAGACCTTCTCCTTTGATATGTGGATTAGGTCCAGGTCACCTATTGGGGGGGGGGGGGTTGAAGCAATTTGCTCATTTTAGTTGATTAACTTAGTTTCGGCTTGATGGCCGATTATCTAGTGGAGACACTGATTCTCAGTCCCTTGTGGATCCCGTTAATATTTTAAAGGAAGGCGGAAACAGTATAATACAGAATAAAATATATTGGGATATATTTTATCTATGCAATTCTGTAAGGGGAGGTGTCGGCCTCGGAGGTCACCCCCATAACCAGATTTCCACGTTTTGCTTTTCGGCAGGGATCTTCACCTGCGACGCGAAAGGCGCTTGGAGAAGCAGTGAGCTGGGGACCCGTTTGCCTTCCTGCCAGCCAGGTACTCCAATTGCTCTCAGCATACACACACACACACACACACACACACACACACACCGAGCACGGCCTCCTTTCTTTCAGGCCAAAATTGTGACCGTCTTCTGCAAAGCTTCCTGCATCCGCAACCATCAGCGAGGTCAAAATAGACATCTCGAGGGTGTCATCGGTTTTCAGAAGAGACAAGCCAGCTATTAACTGGGTTTTCTTCCCGGGGAGGACAGGGCAGAGCTGAGGGGGTGGCAAGCTGGCTACTAACTGGGTTTTCTTGCTGGGGAGAGCAGGAAGCAGTGCTTGGGGTGTGTCAGGAAATCGCCGAAAGCGTGGAGTTGTCAGACGGAAGCTGCAAAACTAAACTTTGACACAACCTGTTTTTAGCTGCTGCCTTCACACGACGTGTTAAATTGGGACGCATGGTTCCGTTCATCGCACTGGAGCTTGTAGTAGAGACTTAGCATTGCCCACTGAAGTTCCTGCAACCTGTTGTAGGTTTTGGACTTTGCTTTCGCAGGACCAAATTCACAGGGTTTGCCCTGGTTTGAAGCACCAAGGAGTTCTCCACACGTGCGAAGTGGGTGCGCAAAAGGAAGAGATTAAGAGATAACCTTTATTGTCATTTTTTTTTACTGTGGGCACAACGGCACACATCGAAAATGAAATTTAGTCGCCCGCTCTCAAAGTGAAACCCATACATGACGCACACCTAAACATGCTATGAACAACATATGCATAGACCCACATCCCTACACATACACGTAGCAAATAAATATTAAATGCTGTCCGTCTTGAATATATAACGGAAGGAGGAAGCTTGAGAGTTCGCAAGGTTAATGTCATGTGTCTGATTAACGAAACACTTAAAAGGACTTTCAGGCATATTTTTATCCTAAAAGCATTTATTAAGGTTACAGAGATGTCAGTACGGCATGGTGGAAATGCCTAGATCTGAGATTCTTTTCTGTTGCCCATACATTCCAGGCATTTTTCCCGCCCCTATTTTGGGGTCATGGTTCACATCTTCCAATTAACTTGAAAGATGTGATTTACTTCCGGTTTCTTTTTCCCAGGCTTTCCTTATTCTCCTCCCCTTTCACTGTTGCCTGATTTAACTATAAAAATACCAGACAGTTCTGCATATTGTCAAAGCAAGAATATACAGTATTTGCAGCGTTGACGGTTAATGCTGTATGGAATGAAACTCTGGATGCTGAATCTGGATGTTCTGCTTCGGATACCATGAAGCCTCCTCCCAGAAGGTAACAAGGAAAACAGGTCGTGAAGAGGATGTGTCGTGTCCCAGATAATCTTACGGACCCTGCTCAAACAATGCTTCTGTGCTATGTCCTGGATGGGAGGGAGGGAACTGCCAATGATCTTTTCGGCCGTCCTCACCACTCTCTGCACCGCCTTCCTGTCTGAAGCAGTGATGCTTCCAAACCAGACCGTGATGCCGTATGACAGGATGCTCTCGATCGTCCCCCTGTAGAAAGTGGTCAGGACAGGGGAAGGAAGATGCGCTTTTCTCATGCGGCGCAGAAAATGCAGGCGCTGCTGTGCCCGCTTCGCCAGTTTCTCACAGTTTCTCACTGTTGCGCGAACCAAGCGATGTGTTGGTGTTTGATTTATCCTGGCTGCAGCCTTCAATAGTACAGCGATGGGACAGCAGACGCTTTGCTGGGCGTTTGTGTTATTATTTTTTTTCCATCACCCGCTCTCACAATTCAGCCTGGATGGGTGTCACCCCGTTGTCGTGCCATGGAAGAACTGACCTGCTGACCTGCTGACCTGCTGTGATTCTATAGTTGCTGACCAGCAACTACAGAATCACAGAGTTGGAAGGGACCTTTGAGATCTTCTAGCCCAACCCCTTGCTCAAGCAGGAGACCCCGCCCCCTAGACCATTTCAATCAATCGATCAGAATAAGAGCTGAAAGGGACCTTGGAGGTCTTCTAGTCCAACCCCCTGCTCAAGCAGGAGACCTGATGCCATTCTGGATAAACGGTTGTCCAATTTCTTCTTAAAAACCTCCAGTGTTGGAGCACCTGCCACAACTTCTGGTGGCAAGCTGTTCCGCTGGTTAATTGTCCTCAATCTTAGGAAGTTTCTCCTGAATTCCAGGTTGTTTTCTCTCCTTGATTAGTTTCCATCCGTGGCTTCTTGTCCTGCCTTCAGGCGCTTTGGAGAAGAGGTGGAAACCCCCCCCCTTCTTTATGGCAGCCCCTCAAATATTGGAAGACCGCTATCATGTCACCCCTGGTCCTTCTTCTCATTAAAATAGACATACCCAATTCCTGCCACCGTTCTTCATGTTTTAGCCTTGGTCATCCTGGAGAGCCGAGCCAAAGGTGGTGTGCGAGCGACAACCCTACAGCTTTACTTGTTCTGTTGTGTTGCCAGTGATCCTAGGTCAGCTCCAAAGAGTGAGCAGGGTGTTGTCCTAGCTAGACGGACCGATGTCGCTGTTTTCCCACCGTAGGCATGCGCGGCCATGCGCCTTCCCATCCCACCGAGGTATTTGAGATCCGCAAATAAGCAATGATGGATCCTGCCACGTGCAGGGTCTCCATCATTGCTGGTAGATCATGCCATGGGCAAAAATCTTTGGATAAAATGGAAATTTGTAGATTTCCCTCTTAAGATCCATGCCAGTGAACAGACCCCACAAGGATTTATTGATATAGGGCAGGGGTCTGTCTGTCTGTCTGTCTGTCTATCTATCTATCTCTATCATCTATATTTATCATCTTTCTATCATCTATATCTATATCTATCTGTCATCTATCTATCTGTCTATCATCTACCTATCTCTATATCTATCTTTCATCTGTCTATCATCTATCTATATTTCCATCTATCTATTTATCTCTATATCTATCTATCTATTTGTCTATATCTATCTATCTATCTATCTATGTATCTATCTATCTATCTATCTATCTATTTATCATATATCTATCATCGATCTATCTCTATATCTTTCATCTATCTGTCTATCATCTATATTTATCATCTATCTATATTTATCATCTATTTATCTATATCTATATCTATCTCTATCTATCGTCTATCTATTTATCATCTATCATCTATCTATCATCTATCTCTGTTTAACATCTATCATATCTATCATCTATCTATCATATTATCTATCTATCTATCTATCTATCACCTTTCATCTGTATCTATCATCTATCTATCTCTATATCCATCCATCCATCCATCATCCATCCATCCATCCATCCATCTCTATCTATCTATCTATCTATCTATCTATCTATCTATCTATCTATCTATCTATCTCTATTTATCATCTATCTATCATCAATCTATCTTTATATCTATCTGTCATCTATCTGTCTATCATCTATCTATATTTATCATCTATCTCTATCATCTATTTATCTATATCTATATCTATCTATCTCTATCATCTATTTATCATCTATCATCTATCTATCATCTATCTCTATTTAACATCTATCATATCTATCATCTATCTATCTTATATTATCTATTTATCACCTTTCATCTATATCTATCATCTATCCATCCATCCATCCATCCATCCATCCATCCATCCATCCATCCATCCATC